AGGGTGGGAGCCTGCACCACCTCACTTGGAAGCTGGTTCCAGACCCTAGCCGCCCTGACCGTGAAGTAGCGCCTCCTGATGTCCAACTTAAACCTTCCCTCCGCCAGCTTGTGACCGTTGTTCCTGGTCACTCCTTGCGGCACTCGGGGGAACAGGGACTCCCCCAGCGCCTGCTGATCCCCCCTAACCAGTTTATAACAGGCCACAAGATCCCCCCTCAGCCTTCTCTTTCGAAGGCTGAACAGGTTCAGGTCCAGCAACCTTTCCTCATAGGACCTACCCTGCTGTCCCTTGATCATACGAGTGGCCCTCCTCTGAACCCTCTCGATGCTGTCCACATCCCTCTTAAAGTGTGGCGCCCAGAACTGGATGCAGTACTCCAGCTGCGGCCTGACCTGTGCCACATAGAGGGGGAGGATCACCTCCTTGGACCTGCTTGAGATGCATCTATGGATTTAATTTAATTGCATTATTTCTTGCCTTGGCCTTGGTGGAGACAGAAAAACAGAGAACAACTGGTTTCCACCCTCCTTAAAAACCACTTTTTAAAAATATCCATAGACTGTTATTAAATCACCCCTTAGTCGTCTTTTCTCTGGACTCAGTAATCTGAATTTTTTCACTCCCTTGTCATGCATCATATTTTCTCCAATAATTTGTTTTTCTCTTCTGGACTCTTTCCATTTGGTCCAGATGGCAGTAGATAATTTAGTTCTCTATTAGTATCAGGGCCTCCTATCAATTGTTGCCATATCTCAGTGGGTGGTATGGTGGGTTTCAAAAACCAAATGTGAAAGCAAGATCCTCTTAGGAAATCTGAAAAACAAGGGCCTTAAGGCTAGGGACAGACATTCAAAAAGCCTGAGACTGAGCTGATTCAATCTTTGCAGGTTAGTCTAACTTGGTTGGGCTGAACTGGTTTGAAATTGGACAGACATTCTCTTTGGACTGAGGAAATTTAGGCACATGCCTGCAGTGGCTCAGGCTAGAAGCTGGGGTGGTGGGGGCGGTGCTAAAGCATCCCTCCCTTCCCTTCTGCAGGGTGTTGAGCTGAGAAGGGCATGGCCAGGCCCCAGCAGCACTCTTTCATTAGGGAGGTCTGCCTGCATGGTCCCAGGCTTTTCCCATCTGGCTGCTCAAGGGGTGGGAGTGTTGCCGGCCCCCTGCCCTGGGCTAGCACTCTGAGGCAAGGGGACGTGGGAAGTGCAGTGCATGCATCTGCTAATGATACAGAGCTTTTCAATCTCCCTCCCTACTTCCTCATACTGTCTGCAGCAAACTGACAGGCAAGCAAGCCAGCTGGAGGCTAATAGTGATAATATTCTTTATCACCCAATTAGCAACATAATGGCCTCTCTCTGTTTTTCAAACGTCTTAAACAGCTTACCTGCTGACCTGCTGATTAGCTTCAAACAGCCCTAAGCAGTCACTGTTCTGTCTGCCTGCCCCAGTGAAATTGGAGAGAGACACACACATAACTACCTCTCAGCATTAGCTAGCATACCACATGCTTAGGGTCCATGGGGCTGGGGTCCATGCTGTGGGAGATGGGAGGGAGGGGGGGATTCCTGTTTGAGCAGTGAGGTAGGGTAGGGCAGGGGGAAGCCAGGCAGACCCTGCTGTGTCTGCAGGCTTTGCTGGAGTCTTACATAGCATTAGCTAGCATTCCACATGTTGGCTATGGTCTGTGCTGTGGCAGAGAGGAGGAAGGGATCCCTGCTTAATCAGCGAGTGGTGAAGGGGTGGAGAGAAGGGGGCACTGGAAAATCAGCAGACCCTGTTGTGCCTGCAAGTCTCTGCAGGAGCTCTGGCCAAGAAGCAGAGAGCTTTGCCCAGTCCAGAGAGCATGCTGGGATGTTGGGGGACTCTGATTTAACTTAAACCAGCAAGGGGTCTGGAACAGACATTGCATAAACCAGTTTGACCCAAATCAGTTAGGTCTGATACTACATTTAACCAGGTTTATCTCAAACCGGTTTCAGCCATTTTCAAACTCATTTATGTGCACTGAACATCTGTTCTGTTACAGGCTTAAACCAGTTTCTGATCACTTAAACTGGTTTATGTTTAATGTCTGTCCCTAGCCCAAGAAGAGAGACCCTAAAGTCAGAAGATGGAGGAGCTTGACTTCTCTCAACCAGAGAGAACAATTCTCTCAGAACAAAAATCCAGATTGTGAGGTGGAGTTTTTGATTAAATAGGGATCAGAAATGTCAGATTCATCAATACACGCCAATATGAGAGTGACTACCACTTGTGGACACTGGGTCAAAGGAACAGAAGCGTAATAAAGTATTAGCTATTTTTGCACAAGTTGCTTATGGGTGGTTGTATTAGTGTCAAGTGAAACAGTCAGTTGAAGGCTGTTCTAAAGGCAATAATTAGCATGTTCCAAACAAGAGATGTCAAGAGACCTTTTAACATATTATTTTTAGGAGAGAGAAGGGCTTTATTTTGTATGTCCTTGGGTTGGGTTGGAATGGGGAGTGCAAACTCATGAGGACTGCTGATGAGCTAAGGTCAAATTTTAACATTATCTTGGGAAGGAATTTTCCCTGGGTTGCAGCCATGCACATCCTTGGGACGCGTACTCTTCAAATCTTCCACAATAGGCTACAAAGCATCAAGTCGGTGGCATATGGATGTGAGAACTACAAATGAACCCAAGTGCTGCAAGGTGTTGGGACTGGTGAATCTGAAGTTAGCAGGGATGCTGAACAATTTGTAAATACTCAGTATCAACACTTGTTTCAAGAGCAGAATTGTTTAAATAATTGTCATTTCTACTTGGTGGCTGAAACAAAGAACAGGGAAAAAGTTTTGTTCAACTCGCTTTGTTTTTCATTTAGTGGGAAAAATTATTTTGAGTTAGTCAAAATTTTGTTCTCAGGTGTTTTTTGTTTCAACTCTGTTTTTTGTTTTTAAAAACAAAAAATATTAGCTTCCGAACACTACTTTGGTCTTACAAGTGAAACACTTGGCTTGAAAAGTCTATTTAATGACTTCTTTGCCTCCATTTTCCTGAGCAGGGACTGGAACAGCCACCCCCCCCC